GACCCCCCCCCCCCCCCCAGTTCTACCGGCTCCAGAGCGCCTGCTGCGGCCGCCTCCGCCCAGGGAGGCCCGGTGGGTGCTGAGCGCCCGGCGAGAGGGAGGCGCGCGGGGGCTAGGAGCTCCCCAGTCCCGCTCGGGCGGTGCGGCGTGGGGGCAGTTCCTCCCCCAGGAGCGGCCACGGGATGCTGGGCCGCCAACTCGGCGGGGGCGGGGGAGCCGGGGCGCGGAGCGAGGACGGGCCTCGGGAGTTTACTCCCGCCCTGATGCGTGTTGTCCTGCCCGGATGATCCGGGCCTGCGACCCTGCTGTGCGGGATCGTCTCGTGTGGGCCCGGCCTGCGCGGCGCTGAGCGCGGCTCTGCCCGATCTGAGATCTAGGTCTAATTAAACACGCCTCACCTCGGTACAGCGCTTTTCGTTGCCTGTCACTGTGCTTTACAACGGAGGTCAAATTATCCTTACCTTACAAATAGGGAAACTGAGGTACAGAGAGAGTGTGATTTGCCCAAGGTCACCTCAGATGCTAAGAAATCACATTCACCCAGAGGTTATTCTTTTATGTCTTAATTAGACTAACCTGTCTTTGCCACAACAGCTAATAAATATTGCATGGCTTAAGTGAAAATGCACTATGATCTGCCTCAGACTTACTTCAGCAGTGTAGATGTTCTTAGCCAACAGGCAGGCCCGGGAGCTAGCAGTGCAGGATTTGCATTTCATAGCCCTGACAAGAGTGTGGTTGTAGTAAAGTAGGGGGGGTATGCACTCTAAGGCTTCAGCCACTCTCAAATAATATTTTCTTTTTGAAGTGTGGACTCCTTCCACAAGGAGATGTGTACAGTAGCTGATGCACATACTTAGAATTAAAGCATGGTGTGGGAATCACCCTTCTCTTAAGGATATCTTGAAGAACTTTTCTTTTTTCACAGGGTGTCTTTTATGAATAATCAAAAGCAGCAGAAGCCAACGCTATCAGGCCAGCGTTTTAAAACTAGAAAAAGAGGTAAATATTAATCACTTTTGTGTGTAGCTCATGGCCAACTCTGTACAGAAGACCTATCCGCATGTGCTGGGCAAGAGAATGAATACACACAGGCTTATTAGTATGTGTCTAGCCCAGAGGTCCCTGAACTGTGGGGTGTGCCCCCTAAGGGGGTGTGGAGGAACATCTGGGGCCAGCCCCCCCCCCCGGGTGGCAGGGAGGGAGCCCCTTCTCACGCCCAGCTCTGCTCTGGTCCCACATCCCCGGCTCCCGTACCTAGCCCCAGCCTCTGCAGCTCCGCTCCCAGCTCCATGCCAACCCCCAGCCTCCGAGGCTGGCTGCGTTTCGCAGCCCTGGGGGAGGCTGGGAGTGGAACCGCACTTGGCCATGGGCCTGGCTGCTGGCCTCCACCGCAGCCTGTCTGCGGCTCCGCTCTCTCCTCAGCCCTGGCTGTGGCCCCAGACCTGCCCCCTGTCCACTTCCCATCTCTTCTCCCTCCTCCCCCCAGCAGTGGCCCAGCTCCCAGCCCCGGGGGGGAGTGCACGGGGTGCAACCCTCAAAAGTGTGGGGACCACTGGTCTAGCCTTTTACCAACTTGTTTAGGTAGGTATCTGTAAATAAAGACCTATAAAGTTAAACACGAAGTACATTTTTTACCATAAAAATTAGCCTTTCAACGTAGGCTAATTCATTTTAAATGTGCCTTGCACCATAAAAAAACAGCTTAAATTTTGGTTATGCTCCTCTCCAAACAATGCCTAATCTAGAACACTTTCAACCAGTGTGAAAGTTTGTCAGTAATAAAGAGCCTAAATGAGGATGCCATTAGATTTATGGGAAAACTCAGGCTTCTTCAAGGGGTGGGAGGGAGCTGATGGGCTCTTCTAGGATTCAACTTCCTTCTGTGAAGGCAACTTTACTTCCTCTTCCCATTCCTAGATTAGTTAATGGGAACAAATATTCTAACTGTTGAAGAAACAATAAAAGTGGAGATATAGGTAAAAGGCTAGAGTGGAATGGTGGCCATTGGTAATGGGAGAGTGGTGTGGCTAGTAAATAGCTAGAAGAAAACTGCCATTCTCTTTTTAAGAGGGAAATGGATGCTGTTCTAAATTAGGGGTCTTGGTTTGCTCTAATCTAGGAACTTCTTGAGGGTGGTGAGGGTTCTAATTTTCTCTAGAAGGCTAGCTAGCTCACACTTTTCAATTCTCTAATTTCTCATTCTAACAGTAGTGGCTATGAAAGCATCCGATTGGCTTTGATTGGTGTATGAATTTACCTGGTTCGTCTCAAGTAGAATGAGGAATTAAATAGGCTGCAATAATAATGAAGAGGTTCATCAAAGTAAAACACACTGAAGATAGGATTCATACTTATCTCAAAGTACAGTAAATCTGTTTCTCTGGTTCAAGGTCAGATGTGCCATTGGATGAAACACTGAAGTGGAAGGAAGGGTAGGGTTTAGTTTGGTTTTGCATATGAAACATTTCTAACTTCATTGTCTTCAAAATACTGCTTCAGATTAAGTCCATATTCCCACCTTCCGGTGACTTTGCTACCTCTGTGAGTCTTGTAGATGGCTGTTCAAAAAAGGATTGCCCCGATTTCTCAGGATATGTCTGTACTATGGAGACTATAATTGCATAGCTGTGCTGGCACAACCCCATTGCAGAGATGCAGGTTTTTCCATAGGTGTAGGGAACACCACCTCCCCAAAGTTAGCTACCTCGATGGAAGCATGCTTAAGTTGTCATAGTGTCCTCTTCTACACTCCTGCTTAGGTTGGCATAGCTATGTCAGTCGGGTGTGAAATGACTCAACAGCTGGCAAAACAATGGAAGGAAGCATTTGGGAGGACTTGATCGACTTAAGGTTTCCACCACTGTCTCAGTAGGAATCTCTTACCTAGTTGACAAATGATGACTCCTTCAAGGACAACCCTGAAAGAATGATTGAGAGAAGCTGTATAACCTTCCCTTTCCATTGCTTAGGCCTTTTCTTCACTGCCAAAAAAAGTGGGGTGTTATGTTAAGAGCGATCTATTTTGGTAGTGAAGACAGGCCCTAGCAAGCATGACTGATCCCAAATATAAAATGTACAGGTTCTGTCCAGAACAGAAAAGGCTGAAACATGGCTAATGGAATGTGATTCAGAATCTTCTAGCACTTCATATTTAAGACAAGTTTTTATCCTAAATCTCTGCTCACAAAGTTCTGACACAGTTTATTGTTTTCATGCTCTTCCACTTTGAAGCAAACCTCAGAGCAGAACAGTTGCATTCAGAATCTCTTCTGGTTAAAAACTAGACTTCAGTCCTTTCATCTGAGCACCGTGCAAATAGTTTTCAATACATGGTTTAGCTGAAACTTGATAACAGGCAAAATGCTGAAAAGCAAACATTTTTTGATGCTTCTGTTACAAAAGAGTGGTAGGCCTAACTAGTTAGAGTGAATAGTTCAGAAAGTAGTAATGTGGATTTAACTAATTTAATGGTAAATATTGGTTAGCCTCATTAGTGACTTTGCACTTCTAATTTAAATGAGAAATGCCCAGTTTCATGTTGGATGATGTCTGGATTTGAAGTCCTAGCATCTAGGCTGCAGTCCTCCCTGTGGGTGCCTTGGCTAGGTCAGGTGGCTTGGAGAAATGCTGGGCCCTCCCCTCACAGCAGGAACTCAGGCAGGGGCTCCCCATTGGGTGGGGCTGCAAGCACCCTAGCCTGTGACCTGCTGCCCATATTGGAGGTATCTGGCCACAGGGCTACCTACTCTGCTGTCTCAGGCATGGCCTGGGAGGCGGCGGCTGCTGGGTCTTAGCTCGAGCTAGCGAAGGAGGAGCCTGGGACCCGAATGCCTTGGGGTGAGGAGATTGCAGTGGCGTTTTTATATTATTGTAATAATAATAAATAGTAAAAATCTGAGCTGTCATGGTAAGGCCATGTCTAAGCTACCACTTAAGTCTGCAAAAACTTTTCCTCTTCCCCACCCTGCCCCCTGCTCCTCCAATCCTCTTCTCTCTTCCCCCC